GTTCAAGCAAACCCTGTACAGTCCCTATATCTTTATTTAAGGTCATCTATAGTGCAAACAAACCCTGTACAGTCCCTATATCTTTATTTAAGGTCATCTCTAGTGCAAGCAAACCGTGTACAGTTCCTGTATCTTTATTTAAGGTCATCTCTAATTCAAGCAAACCCAGTACAGTTCCTGTATCTTTATTTAAGGATATCTCTAGTTCAAGCAAACCCTGTACAGTTCCGATATCTTTATTTAAGGGCATCTCTAATTCAAGCAAACCCTGTACAGTTCCGATATCTTTATTTAAGGTCATCTCTAGTTCAAGCGAACTCTGTACAGTCCCTATATCTTTATTTAAGGTCATCTATAGTGCAAGCAAACCCTGTACAGTCCCTATATCTTTATTTAAGGTCATCTCTAGTTTACCTTAAATAAAGATATCGGAACTGTACACGGTTTGCTTGAACTAGAGATGTCCTTAAATAAAGATATAGGGACTGTACAGGGTTTGCTTGAACTAGAGATGTCCTTAAATAAAGATATCGGAACTGTACAGGGTTTGCTGGAACTAGAGATATCCTTAAATAAAGATACAGGAACTGTACAGGGTTTGCTTGAATTAGAGATGACCTTAAATAAAGATACAGGAACTGTACAGGGTTTGCTTGCATCTCTAATTCAAGCAAACCCTGTACAGTCCCTGCATCTTTATTTAAGGACATCTCTAGTTCAAGCAAACCCTGTACAGTCCCTATATCTTTATTTATGGACATCTCTAGTTCAAGCAAACCCTGTACAGTTCTGATATCTTTATTTAAGGTCATCTCTAGTTCAAGCAAACCGTGTACAGTTCCTGCATCTTTATTTAAGAACATCTCTAGTTCAAGCAAACCCTGTACAGTTCCTGCATCTTTATTTAAAGACATGTCTAGTGCAAGAAATCTCTCCTAAATAAACATCAAAACTATAGCTGATCTCTATATGTAAGTGAATAATGTTATTCTAAATATTTTTTCAAGGTATTTCTTTTTACTGTCTACCTGTTTCTTTATGTTCAATATTTAGCGAACAATGTCTGCTGAGATTTAAAATTATATTCTACAAACATCTTATTAACAGAAATTAGACGAGATATAGAAATGTTTAGTTACAAAAAGCTAAGAAACAAAACATATTTTTAACCAACTACCAGTACTTTATAAATTATAATTTTTAACAAAATCAAATACACATGTAATGAGTTCATTAAAATTCTTGCATAAGTTACCCTAACCAATTTAAAAACATGTAAAATGTAACATTCCACTTACCTCGAACAAGTCGGATTACACGAGCAATGGTGGTGGGAACAGCACTGAATGTTGTTAGTGAAATTATGACTAAGTGTTTCACAAAGTGTAGATCTGTTTATTAGTTTTTTTATAAATATATAGTTATTTCTGCAGTAGTTGAAAATATGTAACAGTAGGAAAAAGTTAGAATAGATCATAATTCCAAACAAAGAAATTAACTGCATGCCAAATCATTAGAAATGAGAACATAAAATCTCTGTTTAAATCAAAAGGTTAATAAAACATAAAAAACATGCAAAATACTTTAAAAAAAAGGTCACATACACAATTTACAAGAATGTTTCAACTTACAGAATTATAAATGATTACTTTATGTGGTGATATACAGATGGTCAGGAGGAATTTGTAGAACATAAATACCATCCCCCCCCAAAAAAAAAACATTATTAAAAGTATACACAAAGAATAGCAGTGATGTTTCCACTTCCAAACAAATGTAGAAAAAAGTTGTTATAAAAATTATGTATTTGTTTAGATTTTTTTATACAAAACATTCTTGTCCAAAAGGAGTAATAATAAAAGTTTAAATCATATAAAATAAAACCCAGAAATCAGAAAAAATCCCACATCCTACCCTCTTGCCACGCCTTCCGCGATCACCCTTATCACCTTTCTCTCCTGGTTCCCCAGGTAGACCCGTTAGACCTCCATCACCCTGTGAAGGGACAAGTCAACTTCCGTTACATTCAAACCATTAGTTAGTACTCTGAACAAAATAACTAGGTATTTTTGTTGTGTCACAGGCAAACTGAAATAAGCTATCATGTATAACATAAAAAAAGACAAGGTAATGCCCATGTTGTATCCTTATTTTCTAGCCCATACTTCCAGAAACATGATAAACATGTCCCAAACTAAAATAAACTATCATGTATAACATAAAAAAGACAAGGTAATGCCCATGTTGTATCCTTATTTTCTAGCCCATACTTCCAGAAACATGATAAACATGTCCCAAACTAAAATAAACTATCATGTATAACATAAAAAAGACAAGGTAATGCCCATGTTGTATCCTTATTTTCTAGCCCATACTTCCAGAAACATGATAAACATATCCCAAACTAAAATAAGCTGTCATATATAACATAAAATAAGACAATGTAATGCCTATGTTGTATCCTTATTTTCTAACCATTAATTATAGACACGTCACAGACATGTCCCACATAATGCATCATTGACCTTTATAAAACTTAACCAGGAATAGGCTATTCCCACTCCCATATAAGTGTAATTTACCTTTTGGAAATGTTTGTTTTAAAGCAAAGTCATATAAAATGGAAGTTATTTTTTATAATAATTAAAAATTCCTTCTGGCCCTTTGCAGCACCAGAAAGAATATTTGTAAAAATTAAGTAAGGCACTGTTATTATACTTGATGAGCATATATACGTATATGCAGAGGCAGAAATATCTGTAGAAATAAAACTTTAATTCCAGCTTTTTCATCAATACAGATATTTCCCTGAACTGTTAACATAAAATTATTGCTCAGAAATGTGGATAGTGTTGTTGTAATATGTCAGCAACTACATGTCTTGTTAAATCAATACATGTATATTGAAATAACAGGATGATACACCATAAGCAACATATGTACTGATAACATCTGTTTCAATAAGAATATATGATTATATAATGAAGTGTGTTTATTTATTTTTTAAACGGGTTAGAGTACATATATTCAAGACTTTCTTCGAAGAATGAGAGAAACTGGTTATAGCTTCTTCGTTTATAAAATATGTTTGTCTTTTTAACGAAGAATGAAAAAACGGTTATAACTTCTTTGTTTATAAAATGTTTATCTTCTTAACAAAGAATGAGAGTAACTGGTTATAACTTCTTCGTTTATAAAATATGTTTGTCTTCTTAACGAAGAATGAGAGAAACTGGTTCTAGCTTCTTCTTTATAAAACATGTTTGTTTTCTTAACCAAGAATGAAAGAAACTGGTTCTAGCTTCTTTATTCATAAAATATGTTTGTCTTCTTAACGAAGAATGAGAGAAACTGGTTATAGCTTCTTCGTTTATAAAATATGTTTGTCTTCTTAACGAAGAATGAAAAAAACGGTTATAACTTCTTCGTTTATAAAATGTTTATCTTCTTAACGAAGAATGAGAGAAACTGATTCAAGCTTCTTTATTTATAAAATATGTTTGTCTTCTTAAAGAAGAATGAGAGAAACTAGTTAGTGCTTCTTCGTTTATAAAATATGTTTGTCTTCTTAACAAAGAATGAGAGAAACTGGTTCTAGCTTCTTCTTTATAAAATATGTTTGTCTTCTTAACCAAGAATGATAGAAGCTGGTTATGGCTTCAATCATAGTTTGCTATTAAAAACTGAATGTTAAGAAATGTAAGTAATTAAGTGTAAAGTTTAAAATAACAAAGCTAATTTGAACTCATGATAATATATATACTTTCATGTATATGCCTGAGAATAAATTAAATTTAATACAATTAATTATATACTCCTAAAGACAGTTGTACTAGTACTGTTAAGTGCAAGCCTTAAATCAATATGACATATTGATTAAGTAAAACAAGCTTGTCCTGTATTTTCAAACAACACTTTCTCGATATTAAATGAGCTTTCAAATGCATATTTTTCCACAATCATAGCTGTTTCTTCTTCACTCTAACTAGAATCAGTGACCAAAGAAGAACAGGCAGTCTCTTGCTTCAAATTATTTACCACAAGATCGACTTTTAGCTTTCTGGAGAAAGAGAACTTCTTAATTACCAACGAAGAAAACTCTAAAGAATGAGGAAGTAATGGTATAAATACTGCTGTTGAATAAACTGTACAACTTCTGAAAAAGGTAAAACTGTACAACTACTGAGAAAGGAAAAATTGTACAACTACTGAGAAAGGAAAATTGTACAACTACTGAGAAAGGAA